AACAGTCAACTGTAAAAGTCAGTGTATCTCGTAAACGTTCACTAGTAGATGGCTACGACAAGTGGTAAAGTTAGCAACTAGTAGCTGGCTACGAGAAGTAAGTAAAGTTGGCTACTAGTAATTGGCTACTAGTAAATGACTTGAACCTTCCAGTACCTTTTGTTAAAATTATGCAAACTTGAATACAAATGTTGATATTCTTAAAGAAGCTGGGTTTTACATCGCTGATATCCACTGATAGTGTTGAAAAAAAAATCTCTGAGCTTTTCAAAATAATCAGGCTTTCAAGTTACAAGATATCGGTAGTAATAAACTCAGCTACTAGTACCTTTTGTCTAGAATTATGCAATTTGGGAGACAAATGTTGATATTTTTGAAGTAGCTGGTTTGTTACCTCGCTGATATCAACTGATATTGTTGATAAAAATAATCTCTAAGATATTCCACATGATCTGGCAGTAAAGTTACCAAGATATCATTAGTAATGAATTCAGCTACTGGTACCTTTTGTGTAAAATTATGCTATTTTTGGAGACAAATGTTGATATTCTTGAAGTAGCTGGTTAGCTGATATCAACTGATATTGCTGATAATGATAATCTCTAAAAATTTCCACATGACCTGGTAGGAAAGTTATCAAGATATCGTTAGGAATGAACTCAGCTACTGGTACCTTTTGTGTAAAATTATGCTATTTTTGGAGACAAATGTTGATAATTTTGAAGTAGCTGGTTTGATACGTCGCTGATGTCGACTGATATTGCTGATAAAAATAATCTCTAAGATATTCCACATGATCTGGTATTAAAGTTACCAAGATATCGTCAGTAATGAACTCAGCTACTGGTACCTTTTGTGTAAAATTATGCTATTTTTGAAGACAAATGTTGATATTCTTGAAGTAGCTGGTTTGTTACCTCGCTGATATCAAATGATGTTCCTGATAATGATAATCTTTAAAACATTCCACATGATCATGCAGTAAAGTTACCAAGATATCGTTAGTAATGAACCCAGCTACTGGTACCATTTTTGTAAAATTATGCTATTTTTTAAGACAAATGTTGATATTTTTGAAGTAGCTGGTTTGTTACCTCGCTGATATCAACTGACATTGCTGATAAAAATAATCTCTAAAACATTCCACATGATCATACAGTAAAATTACCAAGATATTGTTAGTAATGAACTCAGCTATTGGTACATTTTTTGTAAAATTATGCTACTTTCCGAGACAAATGTTGATATTTTTAAAGTAGCCGGTTTGTAACCTCGCTGATATCAACTGATATTGTTGATAAAAATAATCTCTAAAACATTCCACATGATCTGGCAGTAAAGTTACCAAGATTTTCTTAGTAATGAACTCAGCTACTGGTACCTTTTGTTTCAAATTATGCTATTTTTTGGATACAGATCTTCACATTCTTGAGGTAGCTGGATTTTCAAATCGCTGATATCAACTGATATTGCTGATAAAAATAATCTCAAAGATATTCCACATGATCATGCAGTAAATTTACCACGATATCGGTAGTAATGAAATCAGCTACTGGTACCTTTTGTTTTAAATTATGCTATTTTTTTTTTAAGACAAATGTTACCGGTCACGGTAGCCTAGTGGTAGAGCGTTCGCTTCGTGATCGGGAGGCCCGGGTTCGATTCTCGTTCCCGGCGCCGCGTCATACCTAAGACGTAAACAAAGGTAGTGACTGTTCCTTCGCGAAGCGCTCGGCACTAGAAGTGAAAGTCACGGGTCTTTCGGATATGACCTTAAAAACGTAGGTCCCGTGTCACGGTAGGCGCTGGCACGATAAAGAACCCTCACTGCTCAATGGCCCTGAGTGCGGAGTATAGGTCTAAATTTGAAGCCCTTCACCGGCATACGGTGACTTCTCCATATGAGTGAAAAATTCTCAAGAGGGACGTTAAACAATATACAATCAATCAATTAAGACAAGTGTTGATATTTTTGAAGTAGCTGTTTTGTTACCTCGCTGATATCAACTGATATTGCTGATAAAAATAATCTTTAGGATATTCCACATGACCTGGCAGGAAAGTTATCAAGATATCGTTAGGAATGAACTCAGCTACTGGTACCTTTTGTGTAAAATTATGCTATTTTTGGAGACAAATGTTGATAATTTTGAAGTAGCTGGTTTGATACGTCGCTGATGTCGACTGATATTGCTGATAAAAATAATATCTAAGATATTCCACATGATGTGGCACTAAAGTTACAAAAATATCTGTAGAAAAAAACTCTGCTGCTAGTACCTTTTGTTAAAAAAATTGTGGTGTTTTGGGACACAAATATCATATTTCTAAACAAAAGGAACTAAGAATATCAACATTTGTCTAAAAAAAAAAAAAGGGATATTTTTACACATTAGGTACAAGTAGCTACATTTTTTAAAATTGTGCAATTTTTGGATACAAAAGTTGATATTCTTGAAGTAGCTGGATTCGCGTGATTCGCACATGCTCAGAACGGTGGTTGATGTGCATTAGAATTGGAGAGGATTAATTTAAAATATAGTCAACATTGAAACCAGATATTGTTTTTTCTATGGAAGGTATTCAATTAGTTCGCGAACTTTTTGATCACCCCTCGTACTTCGGGAAAAAAAACAAGCAGCGATTTCATACAGCGTCGTAGGTCAAGGCTTTTTTCTTTTTGATGTCATACTTTCGAGTATTTCCGATTTTTCACAATCTCAACTGACCAATGCAGAGTTGTCACTCGTTCCTCTCTCAGACTGCATGAGCTGATGGAAGAGAATGGATTTTTTGGAGACTTTTTCAAGGCCCTAGTTGGAGTCCGGGGTGAAGCCCCCGGAAGCAGATATATTTTTACAAACAAGTTTTTTCCTTGTACATTTATCTGTATCCAGAAATTAAATAATTTTAAAAAAAGGTACTAGTAGCTGAGTTGATTGCTAACGATATCTTAGTAACATCAGCACCAAATCATGTTGTAAAGAACAGAGATCGTTTTTATCAACGATATTAGTGGATATAAACGGTGTAAAAATCCAGATACTTCAAGAGTATCAACATTTGTCTCCAAAAATAGCATAATTTGAAACAAAAGGTACCAGTAGCTGAGTTCATTACTACCCATATCTTGGTAACTTAACTGCCAGATCATGTGGAATATCCTAGAAATTAGTTTTATCAGCAACATCAGTTGATATCAGCGAGGTAACAAACCCAACTACTTCAAAAATATCAACATTTGTCTCCAAAAATAGTATAATTTTACACACAAGGTACCAGTAGCTGAGTTCATTACTACCGATATCTTGGTAACTTTACCGCCAGATAATGTGGAATAGCTAAAAGATTATTTTTATCAGAATATCTGTTGATATCAGCGAGGTAACAAACCAGCTACTTCAAAAATATCAGCATTTGTCTCCACAAATAGCATAATTTTAAACAAATGGTACCAGTAGCTGAGTTCATTACTACCGGTATCTTTGTAACTTTACTGTTAGATCATGTGGAATATCTTTGAGATTATTTTTATCAGCAACATCAGTTGATATCAGCGAGGTAACAAACCCAACTACTTCAAAAATATCAACATTTGTCTCCAAAAATAGTATAATTTTACACACAAGGTACCAGTAGCTGAGTTCATTACTACCGATATCTTGGTAACTTTACCGCCAGATAATGTGGAATAGCTAAAAGATTATTTTCATCAGAATATCTGTTGATATCAGCGAGGTAACAAACCAGCTACTTCAAAAATATCAGCATTTGTCTCCACAAATAGCATAATTTTAAACAAATGGTACCAGTAGCTGAGTTCATTACTACCGGTATCTTTGTAACTTTACTGTTAGATCATGTGGAATATCTTTGAGATTATTTTTATCAGCAACATCAGTTGATATCAGCGAGGTAACAAACCCAACTACTTCAAAAATATCAACATTTGTCTCCAAAAATAGTATAATTTTACACACAAGGTACCAGTAGCTGAGTTCATTACTACCGATATCTTGGTAACTTTACTGCCAGATAATGAGGAATAGCTAAAAGATTATTTTTATCAGAATATCTGTTGATATCAGCGAGGTAACAAACCAGCTACTTCAAAAATATCAACATTTGTCTTCAAAAATAGCATAATTTGGAACAAATGGTACCAGTAGCTGAGTTCATTACTACCGATATCTTGGTAACTTTACTGTTAGATCATGTGGAATATCCTAGAGATTATTTTTATGAACAATATCAGTTGACTTCAGCGAGGTAACAAACCAGCTACTTTAAAAAATATCAACATTTGTCTCCCAAATTGCATAACTCTAGACAAAAGGTACTAGTAGCTGAGTTTATTACTACCGATATCTTGGTAACTTCAGTGCCATATTATGTTGAAAATCTCAGAGATTGTTTTTTGCAACACTATCAGTGGATATCGGTGATGTAATATTCCAGCTACTTCAAGAATATCAACATTTGTATCCAAGTTTGCATAATTTTACACAAAAGATACTAGACGGTTATTTTTAAGGTTCAAGTCATTTACTAGTAGCCAGTTAATAGTAGCCAACTTTACATGCTTGTTGTAGCCAGCTACTAGTAGCCAGTTACTAGTAGCCAACTTTACATGCCTGTCGTAGCCAGTTACTAGTAGCCAAATTTACTTACTTCTCGTTGCCAGCTACTAGTAGCTAACTTTACCACTTGTCGTAGCCAGCTACTAGTAGCCAGTTACTAGTAGCTAACTTTACATATCTTCTGAAAAATACGTAATTTGTCCCAATAAATATCTAATTCGTCTGCACAGATTTTAAATTGTTCGACTATTATTTCTATTATCTGATCCTACATTTGCGCCGTATCTTCTAAATTGGCAATCATTACACAAAATATACAAATTCCCTTTCATTCTTGCCAGTAACACAGCCATACAACACATATCAGAATCAGTGTTTGTGGGACTGTGTCGAACAGTGGGGACATCACAACTGGTTGCTATGAGGAGAGATGTGGTGGATATCAGGGATATAATGGAAAATCAAGTGACAAGTGTTTATGGCAGTACCATTTTGAGTGGAAGTTGCGGAGAAGGTTTCAGACTGAAAGGATCCGATCAAGACGTGATGCACTGGCCAAATAATCACCGTGTGATCTGGGACTTATCTCAATCTCAGTATTACAACACACGTAGAGAAACACTGATCCTCTGTGACTGTTCTGATAGTCCACCAGGATTCACTTTGTTATATCTACTGTCACCAAGCATGCGCAGAGTTATTCAGAGAGCTTGTGTTAGAAAGTATAATAGGCTTTACATATCTAGTTCTATACACAGACAGATCATGTGTTCACCTACTACCACTCCACATCGACCACAACGTAAGCAGCATGGACCCTGTGCCACTTATTCACTTGGAACAACAGAATATGATATTGCTTTCTGTTTTGCCAGTGACTTTTGGCCTCCATCTGCTTCCTCGTGGATAGACAGATGTCACTCATGGCCCCAGCCTCATGTTGCTAATGATATACTAAGAACTGGATGTCTCTTTGTAGCAATAGGACATAAGCTAGGAAGACATGAAAACCATGAATGGAGAATCTCTTTCTCTCTCGCAGAACAAAAACTTGTGTATGCTATGAGCCACTGTCAATTCTTAACTTATGGCTTGCTTAAATTGTTTTTAACAGAAATAATTAACAATAGTGTGGGCAATGATGATAAGTTATTGTGCTCTTATCATATAAAGACAGCAGTTTTCTGGGTGATTCAACAAAATATAATACCTTACTGGTGCCCACAAAATCTCCTTGAGGGTTTCTGGGTCCGTTTTAAACTCCTTCTCAAATGGGTGTATGAGGGCATATGTCCTAACTTTTTCATCCCAGATAACAACATGTTTATAAGTAAAATTCATGGCAACAAACAGCATCAATTATTTACCAGACTGTACTGTTTGTATGAGAAGGGTTTAGTATTCCTGCTACAGATTCCTTCCATAAGGTCTTATATTATAGATGTCCTTCATAACCCCACACTCTCCGTATGTACAGATGAACAAACTTTGATTTCTGAGGCTGATTTTGATGTAAACCTAATTAGTGAAATAAACTGTATTATTACAGTACCCATTTCGAACATGCAACAATGTATGAAATATCTACAAACCATAGAACGGATGATAGGTTTACCTCTCTTGACACAGTATCAAGGCCTCATGCTACAAAGATTTACAGTTTCTGTCCTTCAGAATGCGTCTTTTATATTACACATGAAAACTTACGAAAATGAAAACAGACTGAGGTATAGAGCCGACAAAATCTCCTGTCACATGCTGAAATTAGCAGCCAAGTTTGGTTGTATTACTGACATGATGTACATAGCAATGTATTATTACAAGACACTTAGATACCTGGAAGCTTTATCAATTATAGATATGATCAAGGTCAAGTTAGCACAGCCATATGTGATGCATTACGATGCTGTAGATACAGTGAGGTATACTGAGGCTTTGGAGGGACAGACCTGGTCTACAAAGATGAGACAGGCTGTAGCATTGGATGTCAGACTTTACAAAAGAATCCATTACATCCCTGAACTGATTCTAGAACTACAGCCTGCTCTACAGATTGAAGTGCCTGCATTGCAAGTCCCACATTTAGTAATGATATACATGCTAGAGATCTTGTGCTACATACATGTAGACATAATGAAAATACAAACAGCTCTAGATGATCTACAGACCCTAGTTCACTATGATCCTGGACAGATTATACATGTAAATTTCAGAGACATACCGTGGCATATTTTGGGGATCTGTCAACATGTGACAGGGAACCTCCAGGCTGCTCTATACTCATACCAACAATCTCTCAGACATTTAACACCATTCTACAATATACAAACAATAACAGGAATGAGAATAAGCGAAATTATAGAATAATCAAAATAAGTATGCTAGGTACGTGTTAATAGTAGTTCACCAGAAGAGTTTACTATTTAAATAGTCTTTCAAGTATATTTTATTTTTTAAAGAGAATATGAATAATAAAACGAAACAGGATTTTCCTTTTAAGCATCGAAATGGAAAGTATAATATTAATGCCAATATACTCTAACCATGTATTTTGTTGTATTTTTTTAATTCACAGGAAGAAGTTGTAATCTTCATTCAGACAATTACATTATAAATCATTTCAATATGTATCAGAGGCAATAAGACATAAAATAATTAAAAGAAAATAATGTTAGCATTTTCCATGGATGTTGCAAGATATTTTCCGAGGTCAAGAAATGTTGTCTTGAAATATAAAAGATGAATCAATAATTTTAGAAAAAAGATAAATACAGACAAGATATAAATTGTATCCCGTGAGTATTATCAATTAGGTTTTATTATATTATTACAAAATTGAATTTAGCAGACACTGATGTTTTAGTGAATGATGTATAATTTTATCCATGCTACTTATCAAAATTTGTAGTGTTAGAATACATGGTACTTAATAAAAAGTGAAAAAATGTACGAATTTAAGGTGTGTATTCTGTTTATTCTGAGATAAACTGTATGTACATACATTCTACAGGTAAATCTCCCCTTTCCAAAAATGTTATTTCTCAGTCCTGAATACTATGTCACTGTAACTACAAAATTCGAAAGTTAACCACATGGTGTACAATCCTCTTTAAAATAATTATCTAAAAAATAACTTTTACCATATTTCTTATTTTTAGTTCTTATTAAGCTACACCACCTGCATATGGTGTTAATGCCTCTCTTATGTTTTGGAGGTCCATGATTGCTCTGCTCCTATTTTGTATTGTTCAATTGACTTTTGAGCTTCAATATAGTTCATTATCACTTTAGATTTCCTTTTTACACAGTACATTTGGTATAATCCGAGATTTCTAATCCCTGCTTTTATATTGAGACTTGCGCAGGGGAGTAGAAGTCACAATACAAAGCAGGGGTTGGGGTCAGAAGAATCTCGGATTACATTTGGTATAATTTAAGATATCCTGAAGCGAACCTTTGGATGAAACAAGGAGATGACTAACAGTAGTAACCAAGCTCAGAAGTCAATTAAAGGAGCATATGGAGTATTCAATATCAAAGTCCATGAAACAATACAAAATAGTACGGAGCAAACATGGACCTCTGAAACATGAGAAGTGGGATCAGGTGTTATAGAGGAGTGAGCATCCCCTGCTGACCGGTCACACCCGATGGGTGCTCCTTGTCATGATCGAGAAATAACGAAAAATCTATCGTCAATTCATTAAATAATCAATTAAAAATTAGTTAGAAAAACGTCAGTCAGAATCTGTCTCAATGATAAATTGTATTTGCTGACAAGGTCATTCTATCGACCATAGACCCCTAACTAAAAATATAATAGTAAACTATAGCTTACTATAGTAAATCAAAGTTCCAAAGTTTTCACCATAGTAAGAAGTATATAGAGATAACGATCAGTATACAATCTCAAAGTCCATAAAACTATATAAATAAGAGCAGCGCAAACAGGGACCCCCGAAATAACAGAGGTGGAATCAGGTGCCATTGAGGAGTGAGCGTCCCCTGCTGACCGGTCACACCCGCCGTGTGCTCCTTGTCATGATCAGGAAATAACGGAAACAATCCGTCGTCAATTCAGTGTATAAATAATAGACTAACAATTGTTATGAAAAAAGTCAGTCAGCATTTGACTCAATGATAAACTTATTTGCTGACAAGGTCATTGTATCGACCATAGAACATACGAAATGATGACTGTAAACGAGGCTGCTGATCTTCTTGTTTCGTCAACTTGCTTGTCAATAATTTACCTCGTTTTAGAAATTGTTCATACGTAGAGCATGCTCTTGCATATCGAATCAACTGAGATATATTGCTGCATAAGTAAGGTAAGTTGGCGATAGAAAAGTTAAAGTCATCACGTTTATCATAGAACTTGGTTGGTAGATTACCATTAGTGACTTTTTCAAGTAAAATATCCAAGTATGAAACAGAGGTGTCGGACTCTATGGTATCTTTTATCTCAAGCTCACCAGGATATATCGTATCGACGTAGGAATGGAAATTACCATTATATAAATGGTGCCTGTTTTGGAGGGTAACAGTTGAAATTGACATCAGCGGAGGTTGACAATGGTTTTCCGAGGGGTTTCAGTTTCAACTGTTTCAACTGTTACCCTCCAAAACAGGCACCATTTATTTCATTATACTGAATGTCTTCTTGATTTAATATGTCAGCAATACAAATCGTCGATCGCCTTTTCGTTCACGTTTAGAAAGCTTTCAAACTCCCCGTTACTTCGAAAAAGATTTCCTGACCCCTTTATTGTTTATTTGATACTCTACGAGTCCCTTATCATCTAAAGTTTCGTTATTTCTGTAATCGCAAGCATGTTTCGTCTGTCGTTTGTTGTTTTCAAGTAAGTTACATCGGACGCAAGCTTTTATTGACATCAAGTTTATTCCGGTTCTTTCAAACGCACAACTGACGTTTTGAGAATTCTACGGTGAACCGTGCGCGCATAATTTTCCACGCATGTGGCATTACCGTTGTGTTACCCGTTGTTACGGGTGTTGCTAAGGATGAGGGTAATAAAACAGATTGTTAACTGCGTCTAAACCAATCAAATTTTAGTATTTAACATGAAAGTTTAAAAATATTAATTAACAATACGTCGTCGATATATCTAAATGTCGAATTGAAGGCCACAGCAAGAGTTTTCTTCTTTTTATGCATAAGATTTTGCATAAATTTTGCTTCATATGAATATAAAAATAAGTCTGCTAATAACGGAGCCCAATTTGTACCCATAGGAATTACAATAGAATGTTGGAAAACCTGGTCTCAAAAAACCACATAGATGTTGTTAATCAGAAACTCAAGCATATTTTTGATGTCACCTTCGGAGTACTTTTGTGCGCAATCAGAATCTGTTTTAACAAAATAATTTTGCACATGACCAATGAGGAGGTAAGTAAATTAACGAGTTCCATTTTTATTCAAGAAGCAGCTGTCAATGATATCAAAAAGCCTGGATTTTAATTTGTCGTGGGGAATTGTTGTGTATAAAGTTGAAAAGTCGTAAATCAAAGTTCCAAAGTTTTCTCTATAGTATATCAAAGTTCCAAAGTTTTCACCATAGTAAATCAAAGTTCCAAAGTTTTCAGTATAGTAAACCAAAGTTCCAAAGTTTTCATCAAAGTAAATCAAAGTTCTAAAGTTTTCATCATAGTAAATCAAAGTTCTAAAGTTTTCAGTATAGTAAATCAAAGTTCCGAAGTTTTCACTACAGTAAATCAAAGTTCCAAAGTTTTCACCTTAGTAAATCATAGTTCCAAAGTTTTCACAATAGTAAATCAAAGTGCCAAAGTATTAACTGTAGTAAATCCAAGTTTCACCATTTTCGCCATAGAAAATCAAAGTTCCAAAGTTTTCACAATAGTAAATCAAAGTTTCAACGTTTTTACTATAGTAAATCAAAGTTCCAACGTTTTCGCCATAGAAAATTGAAGTTCCAAAGTTTTCTCTAGAGTAAATCAAAGTTCCAAAGTTTTCACTATAGTAAATCAAAGTTCCAACGTTTTCGCCATAGAAAAATAAAACTTCCAAAGTTTTCACCATAATAAATCAAAGTTCCAAAGTTTTCACCATAGTAAATCAAAGATCCAAAGTTTTTACCATAGTAAATCAAAGTTCCAAAGTATTCTCTATAGTATATCAAAGTTCCAAAGTTTTCACCAAAGTTAATCAAAGTTCCAAAGTTTTCAGTATAGTAAATCAAAGTTCAAAAGTTTTCATCATAGTAAATCAAAGTTCCAAAGTTTTCACTATAGTAAATGAAAGTTCCAAAGTTTTTACCATAGTAAATCAAAGTACCAAAGTTTTCACCATAGTAAATCAAAGTACCAAAGTGTTCACAATAGTAATTCAAAGTGCCAACGTTTTTACCATAGTAAATCAAAGTTCCAACGTTTTCGCCATAGAAAATTAAAGTTCCAAAGTTTTCACTATAGTAAATCAAAGTTCCAAAGTTTTCACTATAGTAAATCAAAGTTCCAATGTTTTCGCCATTGAAAATCAAAGTTCCAAAGTATTCACCTTAGTAAATCAAAGTACCAAAGTTTTCACAATAGTAAATCAAATTTCCAACGTTTTTACTATAGTAAATCAAAGTTCCAACGTTTTCGCCATAGAAAATCAAAGTTCAAAAGTTTTTTAGCATAGTAAATTAAAGTTCCAAGGTTTTCACTATAGTAAATCAAAGTTCAAAATTTTTCACCGTAGTTAATCAAAATTCTAAAGTTTTCACCATATTAAATCAAAGTTCCAAAGTTTTTACTATAGTAAATCAAAGTTCCAAAATTTTCGAAATAGAAAATGAAAGTTCCAATTTTTTTCAGCATAGTAAATAAAAGTTCCCAAGTTTTCACCATAGAAAATCAAAGTTTCAAAGTTTTCACCACAGTAAATCAAAGTTCTAATGTTTTTACCATAGTAAATCAAAGTTCCAATGTTTTTTGTAATTACTTTAACAACTTATATATTTTAATTAATTTTTAAAAAATAATATTTGTGTTTATTTAACATTAGAAAAAAACATGTTGACTGAAGTAAATGAAGCAAATATTTTGATACTAAACGACTCAATTTTTATCTTCCAGTAATTTTTCAAGTTCCAAAGATTTCATCATAGTAAATCAAAGTTCTAAAGTTTTCATTATTGTAAATCAAAGTTCCAAAGTTTTCACTAACGTAAATCAAAGTTCAAAACTTTTCATCTTAGTAAATCAAAGTTCAAAAGTTTTCGTCATAAAAAATCAAAGTTCCAAAGTTTTCACCATAGTAAATCAAAGTTCCAAAGTTTTCACCATAGTTAATCAAAGATCCAAAGTTTTTACCATACTAAATCAAAGTTCCAAAGTTT